GCTGGGGAACCATCAATCAGCAGGGCTATAGCCATGGGGAGCCTTTGGGGGCAGTGCCCCCTCGGGTGACCCCGACTCCTTCCTGGGTAGATGCCAGACCCACCCCACCTACCCATGGTGGACCACGCCACACTCCTTACTCAGAGGGCGGTTACCGCGGCCTTGCCAGCTCTTCTTGCTGCTTCCTGCCTTGTCGCAGGAAGCAGCTGGAAGAGCCCGCGAGGCAGTGGCAACTGACTGCTAGGGAGCAACCTACTCCCAAGCAAGTAAGCACAGCTGCCTCCAGCACCTGGGAAGCCGGCTGGCCCTTTGCTGACCCCCCCAGGAGGGGGGACAGGGGAGCACTGCTTGGCTTGGATGGTAGCAGGAACGGCTCTTGAGTCGGGGGAAGGTGGGAAGTTGTGTGTATGTGTGGCATAGATTGCGGCAGGAGTGGCCCTTAGGTAACGGGGAGGGAGGAAGGTGGAAAGTTGTGTGTGTGTGGCTTGAATGGTGGCAGAAGCGGCTCTTGGGTAGGGGGAAGGTGGGAAGCTTTGTGTCTGTGGCTTGGAGGGTGGCAGGAGCAGCTCTTGGGTTGAGGGGGAGGGGGGAAGTTGTGTGCGATGGGAGTTTGTATACATGTGGGGCTTTCTTTTTCTCCGCTAGGATGATTAATTAATCCATGTCAGTTAAGACAAGTGAGCTATTCCATTTAAAGCCTATTCAGACAGTTTCTTCACTGATTAAAAGTGCCATGAAAGCATTACTATGAACCCTTATTCAAACAAGGTAAAAGACAAGACAAGGGTATAATGCAATAGAGTCCACCCCGCATGAAGGCTGGAAACCCTAGTTCTTGTTCTAGTACTCACAGCTGTGCCCAGTAAGAATATTTACCATTAGTTTTTCCATTAATAAGCCTGAAACATTTTTTTTAGTGGTACATGACTTGTCTTTATTATTAGTGCCCCACGAGCAAATAACACGCCCACTAAGCAAAAAAGTTCCTGGCTATGGGCCTGCCCACCAGTATCTATTTATTACATTTTTATCCTACCCTTCCTCTAAGGAACTCCTGGATCACCACCCTTCTTTCCAGCCCTGCACCCATTAATGTAACAACAGGCTGGCCCACAGACATAAAGAAGATGAAGTCTTTCCCTTCCAATTATCTCCATGGCAGGGAAAGCTTTCTCTGCTTAAACTTTACGTAAACTGTTAAGTCACGAAAGCCTAGGCCAAATAAGAATGTGGAAACTTATCACTAGTTACTAGTCACAATGTCTAGGGACCACATCACTCTAGTTTTGGCCCATCCACACTGGCTCCCAACCTATTTCTGGGACTTGAATTGTGCCAGTCTTGACGTTTAAAGCCCTATATTTGTTTCGTTTTAGACTGGTATCCTCCCCCTCCCCTGGGCCACAAGGCTCGGAGCAGCTCACAACGTTTAATAAAACAATCTACAAATAGGCATAAAACATACTTACAAAACACTAAATTACAATCCATAAAATAGCGCAGTAACTCATAATAAAACATGATCATTTGACACCCAACAACTAACACCCCAGACTACTGTAAAAAAACAGGTGACACTGCTAACAGGTTATAGAAAGCTGGCCTCGACCGTCCTCAACGGAAAGCCTGTTGGAACAACTCCATCTTACAGGCCCTACTGAATCTTGGAAGATCCCGCGAGGTCCAGATGTCATCTGGCCAAGAGTTCCACCAGGGAGGGGCCACTATTGAAAAAATTCTTGTCCTCATTTGGGATGGCCTGTTTTGGGTGCCCCCACCTTCTGAGATTAGGTGGGTGGCAACTCAGAAGAGGGCCTTTTCTATCATGGCACCAAAGCTCTAGAACATTCTCCTCAGGGAGACTGGCCTGCTCCCTTCTGTCGCTGTCTTTTGCCAGCGGGTGGAGACTTTTTTTGTTTCGTCTGGCATTCCCTCAATGAGCCCTCCTTCCTAATCAACGTTTTAATTGCTGTTTTTATATTGTCTTATGTATTTTAACTCTGTTTTTTTAATTGTAAAAAAATGATACATGTTTCCAGTAAGGGTTGGTTTTAATGGCTTCAAAATGTGATTTTATCATTTATGTTTTAAATTATTAGCTGCCTTGGTGATCCTTTTAAGGACAAAAAGACGGGGTACAAATTTTGTAAATAAATAATAGTAATAGCCATGATGGATATCTACTCCCTCCAGTGCCAGAGGCAGTAGGCCTCTATAAATCAGTTGTCGGGGGACAGTGGCGGGATGCTGCTGTTGCAGTCATCCTGCTTGTGGGCTTTCTAGAGGCAGCTGGTTGGCCACCATGTGAACAGAATGCTGCTGGGCCTGATAAGCCTTTGGTCTGATCCAGCAGGGCTCTTCTCGTGTCCTTATATTTGGGGTATGTGGCTACTAGATCCAGGGCCTTGGTTGCTTCCTCATGGAATTTGCCCAGGAAAGTCCACCTGGCCAGCTTACTTCTGACTTTCAGTAAACTGGTCAGCAACCTTCCCAAAGAAATTGGTGACAGTTGTTTTATTATAAACATTTACGCTGTTTACCTTTTTTTTCTTTAAAGAAGATGAGACCAATTAAATTGTGGACTATTTTAAGAAATAACTAAACTCATTACCAGTCACATTACTTTGACAACACAATCCTTTGCGTGTTTACTTGGCAATAAGGCCCACTGGGCCAAGGAAATGACAAAGAAAATTGTGTCTATACGCTGAAATAAAAGCAATACAGATTGGGGCATCACTGATGGAAGCATGAACTAGCCGTGACTCTCTACGTGTCTTGAAGGCAGCTGTGTGAAAACAGAAAACTCCGAGCGGAATTTGAGATACAAAACTGCTAGTATGACATCTTAAGATCCCCCCGCCCCGTATTTTCCGTGAAGACTTTAGCACTCCTCTAACTAGCTGCAGTGGCTCAAGTGGTTAAGACGCTGAACTGCAGGCTGTGAAAGGTCAGTAGTTCAGCAGTTTGAGACCTGAGTGTGCTGCATGACGGAGTGAGCTCCCGTCTCTAGTTCCAGCTCCTGCCAACCTAGCAGTTCGAAAGCAAGAAATTGCAAGTAGATAAATAGGTACCACTTCGGTGGGAAGGTAACAGCGTTCTGTGCACCTTGGTGTTTAGTCATGCCGGCCACATGACCACGGAAACATCTTCGGACAGCGCTGGCTCTTCGGCTTGGAAACGGAGATGAGCACCGCAACCCTAGAGTCGGATTCGACTGGCTTTCGAGCAAGGAAACCTTTACCTTTTTTAACCTACTAAAAATGTATTTATTTATTTATTTATTCGGACTTATCTCCTGCCCTCCCCACAAGCAGTCTCAGGGCGGGTTCCAACAATATAAACACGATATAGAATACAATTAAAACCACTTAAAACAACAATATAAAATAGCACAAAATCCTATAATACCATGTAAATTCTGATCAGATGTCTTAGCGATTACGATGGAATTAAGAATCCAGGCCACTGACAGGTGGCCAGCCAGAGGGAGGGGACATCCTCCACCTCAACCCAAAGCCTGGTGGAAGAGCTCCATCTTACAGGCCCAGCAGAATTGTAATAAATCCCACAGGGCCCTGATCTTATATGGGAGCTAATTCCACCAGGTGGGGGATAGGGCCAAACCCTAGTCAAGGCAAGTTGGATTGTGACGACCCCTTCTCTGGGGAGGTCTGGTTTTACTTTAAAATGTTCTTTATGTTTTGCTTTACTGTGTATATCTGGCTGCTACCAGGAAATTTTAAGGCTTTCCAGACCTTTATAATATAATATTTCTATCACTGGGTAGGTAGGTCGAGGTTTTAGGCTTTCATGAGGGTCTATGTGTTTATTGAGGAAGTATGTCTTTCAGAGCTGGCAGACTTAAATAAAAGGTTTATTGATATAATTCGTAAATAACAGGATAGTACTCTGTATCTATGAATGGGTAAATACTGAACAATTCCAACTAGTTTTTCTCTCACTTTTCTCTCACACTGTCAGGGATTTTGGCATGTAACTCATTTCTCAGGGTCATATAGGTTTCCTATTTCATTCCCGTCTATCACTCAGACTTTTTATTTTTCTCTTTAACTTTACTTTCTTGTTTCCTTATACTTTCAACTTTTCTTCATACACAAAACTTAACTCTTGTATCACACACCATACTGTCTCTCTCTCAGACTTCAGAACTAACTTATCCCACACAGGGATGTGTCTCACTCCTCTCATACACAGAACTTAACTAACTCCCTGTCTTTATCAACTGTCTAAACTGTAACTCTTGACTGACACACATTTTCTAAAACCCCTCCCCCTTTCTGCCAATCACCAATCACACTCACTTGCCTGAGTACATGGAGCTTTCAGCTGGGTGTGTGTGTGTGGGTGTGTGTGTTGGTTAAAAACTCAGTTTGGTTTAGTGGTTAAGAGCATGGCTTTAATCTGGAGAACCGGGTTTGATTCCCCACTCCTCCACATGCAGCTGCTGGTGTGACCTGGGGTCAGTCACAAGTTCTTTCAGAGCTGTTCTCTCACCAGCAGTCCTCAAAGGAGCCCTCTCAGCCCCACCTACCTCACAGGGTATCTGTTGTGGGGAAGGGAAGGAGTTTGTAAGCCGCTCTGAGACTCCAAGTGAAGGGCGGGGGTATAAACCCAATCTCTTCCTATTCTTCTTCAAAAGACAATTGCTAGCTTAGATGGCTTCTAAGAAGAATAAGACACACTCATGGAGGTCTATGGAAAGCTACGAACAGAACCTCCACAGCCAGGAGCAGTATACCTGCAGGTGCCAAATAAATAACTTTGTGAGGGTGCGGATGGGGCTGTTGCCCTTCATGCCCTCCTTAAGGGAAGCCTGGCTTGACCCCATTGGAAACTGGGTACTGGGTTACCCCCACCCACCCCCAGCCGTGTAAAGGAAAGGGGGGGGACATTTCCCTTTCTAAGCGCGCGGCGTGCATAACAGACTGGGGGGCGTGCACGACAGACTGGGTGGGGGACACCGCCCACTGCCTCACCTGGGCTCCCGACTCCGCCTTTCCGAGGCCGTCCACCATAAAAGCGGCTGGGAGGAGGGAAAGCGCCCCCTCAACTCGCAACCGACAGAGGCGCCAACGACCTTAGGTTCCGGCGCGCACGCGCAGACCGCGCCCGCCGGCCCGCTCGCCGCCAGAAGCCACGCACGCGCACTTGGCAAGAAAGTCTTCGGAGATTCTGTCCGCCCCTGCCACAGCCTTCCCGTCCCGCGCATGCGTATCGCAAGCCTCCTTGTTGTGCTACAGCCGTGGATCGAACCGAGGTAGCGTGTAGCCTGATTGACCTGTAGGCAGATCTCTGAAGCAAGACTCGTTCAGGCTTTTTAAAATCCGGAGTGACTCCAATAACCCCAGACAGCGTGCAAGCGGCTAATGCATCTGGAACACTGACGATGAGATAAATTTTCTTAGCCTTGGAAGCGTCACTGGATTTTTTTTTTCCTTTTGCAAACTTTCTAATTCTTTAGAACTCTTTGTCGGGATGATGCAAACTGTTTTCACATAGTTTGGGGTTGGTCCGAATAAAAACTTCTGTTACTAGAAAGTCTGTGATTGCACTCCTATGCGCGCTTATCAGTACTTGCAATTCGGTGTAGCGCGCTGTGCCTTTGTAGCAAGGATCCCAACCCAGAGGTTGCGTTTCCCTCCCCGCCGGGTTTGTTTAGGCGTGGAGTTTAGATCTTGCGACAGCGTCCTCCTGGGATCCGCTGTGTTTCGTTTTTGCTCCGAGATTCATTTGGGACATTTCGAAGAATGCTGGGGATTTGTATTTGGTTGGGAAAATGTTTTTGATAATGTGATCCAGAAACCCCTTAATCCGATTTGGATCTAGTTCTCTAGAATGGAGGATGCACTTTTAAAAGGCAGTGACGTGTTTTAGGAAGATCACAGCTTTACGCAACAACCTGGTGCAAATTTTGCTAGGACTAGGGTTTGCACCGTCTTTCTCTTCCAGAAGTTCAGTGACTTTCAGTGCAATCCTAAACAGTTAGGTAAAGGTTTCCCTTGCTCGAAAGCCGGTCGAATCCGACTCTAGGGATGTGTGCCTCATCTCTAATTCCAAGCCGAAGAATCAGTGCTGTCCAAAGACGTTTCTGTGGTCATGTGGCCGGCGTGACTAAATACTGACTGAGGCGCACGGAAAGCTGTTACCTTCCCACGGAAGGGGTACCTATTTATCTACTTGCAATTTCTTGCTTTCAGACTGCTAAATTGGCAGGAGATGGGAGCTCATTCCGTCATGTAGAGCTCAGGGGACCTACTAAAACTAAGGACAGCGTTTGCCCATAGGGAATACATGAGTGCCCATAGAGAATAATGGAGAGTAGCCTTGCCCAGAGGGGATACATAATTGCTGTTGGTGGCAGCTGCAACGGCCGCGGGCGGGGGTTCCCCGCCTCCTTGAGCCCCAGGGTGGTGGCCTTGGACTCGTAGGGGCAAATTCCACCTCTTGCGAGTAATGTCCGAGCGGCATTGTGTTCGGACATCACACGAGAGGTCATTCCGGCTCGCCCAGCTCTGTTAGGGGCTCTTCAAAAAGATATGGCCGCGGGGGGCAAAATGTTCCCCCACCTCCCTAAGCCCCGGGGTGGTGCCTTGGACTCGTAGGGGCAAATGCCACCTCTCGCGAGTAATGTCCGAGCGGCGTTGTGTTCGGACATCGCACGCGAGAGGTGGAACTTGCCCCTACGAGTCCAAGGCCACCACCCTGGGGCTCAAGGAGGCGGGGAACCCCCGCCCGCGGCCGTTGCAGCTGCCACCAACAGCAATTATGTATCCCCTCTGGGCAAGGACACTCTCCCTT